TAGTGAATATAAGTCATAATGAGCATGTTGCTCTTATTAATTGTAAGTCTCTGTGCTCTTGAAATGAATGTGAAGCAAATCATACTGAAGCTGGGAATATACACACTGATAATGATCATCCTGCACTGTATAATGGTGCTGAGTATCTATACACTGATGATGATCATGCAACTCTGTATAATTATGCTAGTAGTGTTCACACGGGTAATAATCTCATTGCACTGTACAACGATGCAGAGTATGGACATTATGCTCTACACAGCAATACCACCTGTTATTACACCATCCCATTATTTTTCATTGTGTAGACACTAGCATATGCTCACCATCAGTACAGAGAACAGCTCACATGCAGTGCTAAATTCGCCTTACGGCTCAGTCACTGAGAATGTTGTGTTACCTTTTGTTCTGTGATGGAAGGCTGGCACGTGAGGTATGCCCTAGAGCAACTTTGACTTTCGAGTGATTGATTGATCTACCCCAGTTCTACTGGGAAGCTGTTACATACATTTAATGCCCCATTTATGAAGTTGTATGTATTTCTGATAAATCCACACAATCCCTATATTCAGAGCGTGAGCTCTTTTTTTAGCACTTATGTATGGAAAATTGCTTCCGCCCTGCACCTTATCACTTTTTCCTTTTGGCTCTTACTAAAATTATTTTAATCTTACATTTTCTACTTTTATGGTCATCCATTTTTTCCCAAAGTTTACTGAAACTTCATTCTCTTTCGCTGGTTTAAGAAATGGGCTAAAAGCTCTTTCCTCTGTGTTACTGTTTTTGTAACACCAACCCTCTTTACATAATGGTACCGAATCATCTTTTTTTTAACTGCACTTTTCCAATGTATCATGTAATTTGGGTTTGGCTGTGGCAAATAGGACAGAATGAGGCTTTATATTTTCTTTTTATGTTTTGTTAAAATGCTGCTAGTACCCATGTGAGGAAAGGAAAAGTATTGTAGCGATAGACAATGCCCTCCATTTTGTCCTAGTCCAGGTATGTTCCTGTTCTCTTTGCAGCCAGTGCCCTAGAGTTTCCTGCTATATGCAGGTATCAAAGTAAACTTACACAATTAAATAGAATGACATCTGCAGCTTCTTAGAGCATGGGAGAGGGAGAAAAATCTGAATCATGTATCTTAAAATTACTCCATCAACAATATGTGGCACTAACAATGTTTTATACACATGTAAAACAGACTAAGTGTACTTTTAAGTGTGATAAAATACATTAATATTTGGCCTGCCTGCTTTGTCTGAGGCCAGTTTTGTAGAATTTGATAAAAAGATAAATAGAAGCTGTATAGCAGTATATATCTCAGTCTACTTAAATCAATAGTAATTTATCACTTTTTTGATATAACAACAAGTTAAAAGTGGCTCTCTAAACTCCCTTCCATGTGCCATTTCCCCAGTCTATGATTAAGTGATTCTTTTAGTACTTGGACAAGAAACCAGGGCTCTTTCAGAGACCAAACTGCAATCCTTATAGTGCAGCTCAGATAATACAGACTTGATCTTCCACTTTATCTGTCCAATGTTAGATGCCAGATAATGGGCTGATCTGAGGTATATATATAAATACACACACACACACACCAAAAAACCTTACACTCTAGGATTTTAGAGAATGTTATGCTGGGTGCTTAATCCTGTAAAATGTGTAAAGAAATGTATATAGGATATCACTCATAGGACTTTTTTAGCAAAAACAAAAAATTAAGCAAAAATTTGTTTTATTGTGAACATTCCAGTTTTGTTAAGAAAAAAATATTAAAAACTTTCATCACAGTACCCATGAATCTCCCTTAAAGTAATAAAACTGGCCTATTTGAAATCTTTGTATAATCGTTGTATAAATTTGTATAATTTAATGTGGAATTCTGCTCAAAACTAAATTAAACTGTAGAAGACCCGAAAGTAATAGGTATTTTAGTACTGGTTTTAAATATGTGTATATATAGAACATAAATAGAAATTATTCTGTATCCAGTTTTAATTAATTTGAGCAGTACAAAAAATGTTAGCTATTTAACACACACTAAGGTAGCTGTGTGATCAAGACAGCTGTTGATAAAAGTATATTTTAATTTTGATGCATCAATTAGAGGATGCATTTTCTCATTAGCAAGGACACGGGCACTCATGCTATATATCTAGCCATTGGCGAGTGAAACTGCAGCCCTGGCTAGTATAAATTCATTCCTGGTGAGTGTGACATACACCTTCCAGGCTTGAGTAGTGTAGAACTTAAAATTGCACGTCTGGTATAGCTACTAAAGTAGTTCTGGAAGATCTTTTGACTCCATAATTCCACTAAATAAAGCCTCCACAATATCTTGGTATCTGCCTATGGAGTGATCCAGGATTGTATTTTCACATAGGTTTGGTTGAAAAAAAAAAAAAAAGCACAGTATTAATTACTCATTTACAGAGACAGAATAAATGTTACAGGGATAAAAGCACTTAACTTTATGACTGAATTGAATAGCTGTTTCCAAGTCAGTTTTGAATTATGTTGGCTTTAGTTAGTTTGATAATACAGTTGTTGTTTTTTTTTTTTTTTTTTAAAAAAAACAGAATAAGTGTCTTCTTTACAATTTGCTATACAAAAAATATAAAATCTACTTAAAAATAATGCCCACTTACAAAGCATCTTGAATACTTTATTTATCTGCTAATGTTTATATATTGAATAGACCAAGTCAGCAAAGTCAACCATTTTATCTTAAACCCAGTCTAATATGCTATCCTGTTATGTATACAGCAATGTTTACCTGAAAACAAATGGACCCCCAGCTAGCTTGCCCAGGATTTATTTATGGCAATTTAATTCCTTTAGTTACATACTTCTGAACTTTTCTGCTACTAGTGGGAAATGAGTTACAGCCTCAGTCATTCCCACATGATAAGACATTTTAATACAGAAAATGCCATAAAACACAGTAACATTTGTTTCCATAATATTTTTTTTTCTCATGCCATGAGCGATTATTGTCCTATTTGTCTCATATCCACATAATGTTACCTTAGAGCTATTTTTTATCCCTCCACATAACCTCACCCTATAACTCATATTCCTCCTTATATTGTTTCCCTTTATATCCTTCTGCCTTTCTGTCTGTCTGTTTACCTTTAATTTTCATGCAATACACCTTTGCACTTTGTTACTTTACTTTATTCCCCACTCAATCTATAACTGCACTTACTTGGCCCCATTTTACCCACCTCTCTGGCACAGAAGGGTTAACTTGGCTGAGACCTCCCACTTTTACTCACTTTTTTGGTAAATGGGGATTTTTACTTCTTTCCCAAACTCAAATGGCAATACATTCCTATGTGCACGAGCTATGGTGCTGTAATCTTGTAAATACAAGCAGTGGGTTGTGGGTGGGATCAATTGTGGGAATATTAGCTGGATATTAAAGTGGTGGGTGGGAAATGAAGCACAGACTGTCATATGAATTTAAAAGGGAGTTAAAACAGAGGAGATAATAAAAGGATGTGTTTGTGTCAGTATTTGAGTATGTGAGCGACCCCCCTTTTCTGTATATGACCTGCTCCATGAGTACCGATCTATCCCTGTACAATATTCCTCTTTATATATATGTCCTGGCTGGGAAACTGGCGCAGGACAAATTTTTATGGAAAAAAAGTATGGAGAAAAAAAAAGTTCAGCATGTGGAATAAATTTTTACATTCCCAAAAAAAAAATGTATTGAGTTTTGTTTTTTTCTATTTTCTCTCTCTATATGCTTTGACAATCTTTGCCACCTTGCAATGTGGCATGCTTATTCTCAGAAAGCATGGTATGAGGCAATATAGTGTTTCACTATGGAACACAAAAAAGTAGCCTTAATAATGTAAGGCGATCCAGATGTGAACTTTGGACGGCTACAGAGCATTTTCATTCAGAATGTTTCTCAGTGGTTGTTTTCCACAGACATAGGAATTCCAATATAAAGTTACAAGTAAGTTAAAACTAGAAACTTTAGTACTAATAACTTTAATCACCTTCATAAAAAGAAAGTCACAGAGTGTGTGTGTATATAATTGTGTTTAGATATATTTAGATGGATATGTAATAAATAAGTCCAGGTACATGGATCTTCTTGAAGCGGCACTGTCATGTCGGAACGTACCTTTCCAATCGCTTCCTCTTCTCTCTTGATATAGAACCAATGTATCTTTGGTATATTCAGGGGAGCCCAAGTTATTATTATTTCAAATGCATATTAATTCAGAAGCGTGAATTAGACACCAGACACCTGTTGGTAATCAAAATAAGCCTTTATTTTGTCGGTTGTGTTTTTATACATTAAAAAGTAAGTGCTTACGTGCAAATACTCATAGGACAGTAGTAGGAAGGGGGTAAGAGGAGTACAGATAAGACATTGGGATGAACGTCATGTACATATGACAGATACGTTCCAAGAAAGAGAGCAGACTGATTTAGGAGAGACAGCTCAGGTGGGCGCTATGTGCTCCCGGAACAAGACATATATGGTTTTAAGTGTCGTTTTAAGCAGTAAGCATTTCCTGAGTCAAAGTTAGCCTATTTTAATATAGGATATCTAATGTGACACCTATAAGCTTGAACCTTGGATTCAAAGTAAATTCTTTCACAATCCCTCTTTTGATCCAAGGGTCACCTAAATGTCCAAGGTATTTCTAGGTGTGCTAGCCAAAGCCTGTGGGACATTCATTTATTTCTTCACCATGGTTCCCTTGGACTGAGAGACCGCCAAAGGAGAGTTCCTTCATTTGTTAGGCGAGGTAACATCGTAAAAACCTACCGAAGTCGGAGCTGGAATGTAAGTTAAGGTACGACCAACAGTAGATTTGTTTTTACATAGAGAGGTTAGTAGACATGAGAAGAATCTATAGGTTAGAAAATGGCAATAATAACAAATACAGCTAATAGCAAAAAGTACAAAATTTTCTTAATTAGTAAAGTCAACCATGTTCCTAGGCCAAATGTCCAATCCCATTCCCCAAAGATGTCAGTATCCTGTTTGATATCCTGTACTAAGTCATGTAAATCTTTTATATGTTTATGGATCATAGTGCCATGGTCAGATAGGTTAAAAAAAAGCACATACCTTCAATAGCTTCACAGCCTAAGCCATGTTTCATTAGTAAGTAGTCAATAGCTGCACTATTCTCAAGGATTGCTTTCTTATTTGCATGGGTGTCCATAAGTAGCTCTTCTAAGGCCCTGGGAAGTGGCTTTTAAACCCTTTGCAAGGGAACAGGCTACAGCATTAATTACTCGGGTATTATACAGTGCTAAGCGTGGGACTCCTACCATAGAGGGCAGAGTATTCGGATTTAGATAAGAGAGTGATTTCAGGGTTACAATCTGAAGGGTGTTTTTAACATCCTGTCTCTCTGCGATTTGTGTAGCTGGGTGGTTTCAGCCATCAGGTCACATTTGGAAAAAATGGTAATAGTTAGGCGTGAGATTGCACAGGGACCTCCTGTAATGTTACCTGGGACATAAACATAAGTACTATTTCCACAGGAGAAAGTCCATCCTTTAGGGAGATAGACATGGTAGTGGTAACTCATAACTTGGTGAGTTTTGGTACAATAAATAGTGCTAAGGGCTCTACAATTTGCGGTATTGTTTCACCATTTGGGGAAAAACAGGGATTTAGTTTTAGGGTCTCTTGAACAATTACATGAAAAAGACCAACATAGTTCAGTGGCATATCTGAACAGAGCATACACTGGATAAGAACAGCTTCATGTCGGTGGATCAGTCGGAGTGACTTGTTTACAGTAACTTGCATGTATCCACGTGGCTTTTCCTTCCAGTTTCACTGAGGTAGCCACAGTCAGGAGCACTTGGAATGGACCGTCAAGCGTGGTTCAAGTCCTTTCCTCACATGCCTCTTTATCACCACCCAATCCCCAGGCTGCAGTTTGTGAGTTGCAGAATCAGAGTCTGGATCTGGAATGGAATCAAAGACTTGTTTATGCACCCTGCCTTATCTTTGGTGTAGGGCCTGTACATAGGGAGTCCTACTACCATGCTGCATCAGGAGGGTCTGGTAAAAATAGAGGCCTGTCTTTGGGGCACATCCAAATAGAATCTCAAAAGGGGATAGGCCATGTCTGGAGTTGGGGGTGAACCTCATAGAAAAGAGTGCTAGGGGAAGGCATTTAGTTCCGGGCTTCCCTGTGTCTTGCATGACTTTTGCAGTCTTGTTCTTTAAGGTTCCATTTGCCCTTTCTATTCTACCACTACTCTGGGGGTGAAAGGGGGTGTGGAAGGCCTGGCTGATCCCTAAGGCTTTCATTATTTCCCCAGTGAAATGGCTACCTCTGTCACTTTCAATCACTTCAGGTACCCCGTGTCTACATACCAGTTCCTTCAGAAGCTTACTTGCTGTGACCTTCGTTGTGGCTGTTGACACTGGGTAGGCCTCAGGCCAACCTGAAAAGAGATCCATGCACATCAACACATATTCATACACTCCTACCTTAGGAAGTTGAATATATTCTATCTGCAATCTTTGAAACTGGTTAAGTGGCCTTGGTGTGTGCTTACTTGGTGTTTTGACAGCCTGTCCTGGATTGTTTCTAGCACAAATCATACAAGCTTGGGTGTGTTTAGCTGCTACAACAGTAAATCCAGGTGCCACCCAATGGGTGTTTACTATGCATTTCATGTGCATCTTGGAAAGATGTGTAGGTCTCTGGGCCATCATGGGGTACAACATTCGTGGCAAACAGTCTTTTACCTTTCCTCCACATTCTGTCATCATCCGGTTCTGCATCTTGTTTCCTCCAGAGGTCATATTCTTTCTTGCTTGCCTGTCTTTCTAAGCTCAGCAGAATATTGTAGTCAACAGCATCATCTGTAAGAACAACTTGCAGGAAGGTATCTAAACCAGTATAGCTTAGTGAATGTATCACACCCACTACACAGAACCTGTCTCAAGGACATAACATGAGTATTAGAATTTTCGTTGTTACTTTGGAGGAAAATGATTATTGTAAATATGTAAACACTTTGAATTAGTTTTAACATGTCACATAATATTATTTTCTTAGATTTAAACACGCCTAAACAGAAAACACTGTTTAGGAGATACAACTCATTTTAATGGGTGTGGTACTGTTAGATGCATATTAAAAAGGGAACCCTTTTCATGTATACTACAGAGGTAAAAAATGTAAATTAAAAATAGTCATTCACCTCCCAAGAGGTATAGATTATACAGAAAACCACAAACTTTATCCTTAAGGGAGAGATACTTTAAAGATGTTTTAAGGGCAGATAAATGATTGTCTAAAAGATTGTGGCGCAAAAAGATGTGTTTTTGTTAATAAATGGGACTTACAAAATACCCTATATCTAAATATGGACTTGATTTATTATGGCCTAACAATATTAGGTAAGCAAAACTAAGTCAGATATTATGAACGTCCGACAAGGCTAAAAATTGAATTAATTGGATAGAGATGAGGTTTAAATAAAAGGGGTTAAAGAAAAGTGTGGTTTCCTCTTGTAATTTCATCTGTGATCTTCACGTGAGCCGCCACCTTGATGATACCTACTTGAGTGGGTAGCAGGATAGCGTCCATAAGTGCACTCACGGCTTCAGAGTTCTTGATTGGAGTACCTGCTGAGGTGAGAAAATTACAAGCCTGCCATATAGGGCTAAATCATGGACTATACCGAAGGCATAGCGAGAGTCCGTGTAAATATTAGCAGTCTTACCAGAGGCCATTTTGCACACTTTAGTGAGTGCCTTCAGCTCCGCCTCCTGTGCAGAACAGTGAGGAGGGAGTGGTTCAGCTTTTATTACCTCATGTGCAGAGACTACAGCATATCCAGTGTGGAAATTACCCTTCTCATCAGCATATCTGAAACCATCTACAAAAAACTCAAAATCTGCATTAGATAATGGAGAATCAATTACATGCGAAAAACCAGCTGTCTCTTGTGCCATTAGTGCTGCACAATCATGGGGTACCTGGGCATCAGCTAACTCACATGGTGAAAATGAATTTACAAAAAGATCAGAAGTACAAGTAGCATTCCCACTATCTCCACTCCCCTCTTTTAAATCCAGGGGAAGTAATGTAGATGGATTTAACACCATACACCTTTTCAGTGTGTAACATTAGGTGGCATAAGCAAGGCACGTTGCATTCTGAGATGCCTTGCAGTATGTATGTGTTTTGGTTGAACTTTTGACAGTATGCTGTTGATGTCATGCGGTGTGTATATGGTCACTTGGTTATCTAAGACAATATCAGTGGCTTTGTCCAGGAGGACAGTAACAGCCGCCACTGCCCTAACACATGAGGGGGCACACCTGGCAACAGGGTTCAATCTGGTGGAGTAGTATGCTTTTGGTCTTTGTTTACCACCATGTAGCATAACCCAATTGTTCAGTACAAAACATTGTAAAAGGCTTTCTGTAATCTGGAAGACCCAGTGCCGGAGGTGATGTCACGAGCAATTTAAGGGTGTAAAAAGCATTTTCTGCTTCATGGGTTCATTTTAAGGTTTGCATTCTGAACAAAACAAATTGCACATGTCTATTATCTTCTAACCAACCTCTGTAATTTGCCATAAATTCCCTCTATATAGGTGGGTCTAGAGTGCCCTCTGAGGGCATGCCAGCTTTCCAGTAACCTCTTAATATTCTTAATTGCTCCTTGTCCTTTGTGATGCTTGATTATTGTAAAAGCCGTTAAACCCTCCAGAGTGCTTTGAGAGCTACCCATATTAAAACGTGTAAGGGTTAATTACTTCCTTAAACAAGACAAACTACATAAACAGTGTATAAGACACTTAGGGCTGACAAGTAGCCTTGTTACAAGGGCAGTAGAGTCGTGTAGCTGCAATTTTAATTTGTGGGTAAGGGGAATGTCACTTGGGATCCCATCCACTCCTACACATGATAATACATCATCAGACTTCTCATACGGGAACACATATTTTTCCTGTAACATTGATTTGGCTGCTCCAGTGTCTAACAGAAAAGGGACTATTCGGTCCCCGGGCAGTGTAACATTTATAATGGGTGAGGGTCAAGCTGAGTCAGGAATATTGAAAGCATGTAGGGACACTGGGTTGCCAATTTCTTATTGGGGAGGGGGAGGTGGTTGGTTGTCATGGGAGTTATCATTTTAATCCGGGGTGGGGGGGGGGATTGTTGTAATATTTTGGACTGCAGCCCTTGTACTTTCCGTCAGATGTTTTGTGCCATGGGAAATACAATGTCCTAAGAAGATAACATTTTCAACACATGCCTGCAGTTTCGCTTTTGTAGTTTTGCAGCCTGCTTGTGCCAGAAATTTCAGCAAGGAAACCGTTTGGACATTACATGTTTCCATATTTTTGCAACATAAAAGTAAATAATCGATATACTGCAATAAGATTACGTTATCTGCCCTTGGCCACTCTTCAAGAATTTGGGCCATAGCCATGCTGTACATAGTGGGTGAGTTTTGTGCGCCCTGTGGCAATACTGTCCAAGTGTACTGCTTGTGTTTATGTGTAAATGCAAATAAATACTGGCTGTCTGGATCCAGGGGGACACTGAAGAATGCATTTGCCAAGTCAATAACAGTAAATACCTTAGAGGAAGGTGGTATCTGTGACAACAAAGTGTGTGGGTTTGGGAACATTAGGGGCAATGAGTTCAGTTACAGCATTAATTGCCCTCAAATCATGTACAATACGGTAGACCACAGGTTTCCCTTTCTCTTGCTTTGTCTTAATTGGGTACAATGGTGTGTTACAAGGGGAGGTGGTCTGGAAAATTACCCCTGCCTGCGGTAATTCTTGCACAGATTGGGAAATAGCATCTTCCTGTGCAGGGCTTAGGGGGTGTTGTTTTTAACAGGGAAGGGTGGCTCCGGGCAGGAGATTCACTTTGTCTTGGGGCACAGAGACTCTGCCTGTATCTGTCTTCCCTGTAGCACATAGATAGTCAGGGACTGAAGACAAGTCAATGGCAGGTTCTGGCACATAGCTGGGCATAGTGAGTTTTGCCAGAACATTTGAGAGGGATATCATTTGTTTGTCCTCTAAAGGCAGAGACAATGTTACTTTTCCAGTGGGAATATACTGGATATTTGCATTAAGGGCAGACAGTAAATCACATCATCAGACTTCTCATACGGGAACACCTATTTTTCCTGTAATATTGATTTGGCTGCTCCAGTGTCTAACAGAAAAGGGACTATTCGGTCACCGGGCAGTGTAACATTGATAATGGGGAGGGCCCAGCTGAGTCAGGGATATTGAAAGCATGTAGGGACACTGGGTTGCCAATTTCCTATTGGAGAGGGGAAGGTGGTTGGTTGTCATGGGAGTTATCATTTGAATCCTGGGGGTTTCTATTTTTAGGAGGACACCTGCAGTTGCGTTTAATGTGTCCTTTACTTCCACAATTCCAGCAGTCTACCTGCTTTCTGTCTCCACCAGCTATAGGGACAGATAGTGCCATTAGAGGTGTGTTCCTCTTTCTAGTATTTAGATTGGCTTCCACTCCCATAGCCAACTTTACCAGATCACCATAGGTTAAACTTCTCCACTCAGGTCTAGCATTTTGGAGACCAGTCCTTATAGGTATGTGGAGACCATCCATGAAGCAGTTAATAAGCAGTCTGGTAACCCAATGCCTCCCAAGCCATCTGTAGTCTAGTGAAGAATGTTTTAACAGATTCATCTTTCCCTTGTACAATATCTCCTAATTTATGGGCTAGTTCCTCTGTCTTTACTTTAGCCCATTCTCGCATTGCAGTGACATAGCATGCTCCAGATGCAGACTTATTTCTAAACCATTCATCTGTTTGCATGTTGCTTCTTCTGAGGCTATCTTCATCAGTATATTTAGCAATTATTCTAGCCCAAATGGCGACAATCTGTTTTAAATCAATCCAAGTACATTGGTAAGTAGCTTGAATGGTGGATAGAGACTGGACTAGAGCTAAGGGGGCCTTTTCTACATCTGGAAGCTGCTGTATTATTGCCAGTTGTTCAATGTGTGTCCAGGGCTTATATTCTTCCCAGTATTGGATACCTAAGCTTGGCTGTCTCTTCTCATGGTAAACACTCTCAACTTTGGGTATCATGGAAGTAGTAAATTGTGGAGCTAATGGCCCCACTGGGGTGTCTATGGGTTCCCTTAAAGTCTAGTGGACTACCCTTTTCATCTAATGAGGTCTTACTGGGGCTGCTGGGGAACTATATGAAGTCCCACTGCGTAATATTACTGGAAAGAGAGTTTCTGATTTTCCAGGATCTTGCCTTCTCTGCAAACCTAGAGGTCGAAAACATTGATAATATGGTATACCTTTTCTGGTGGTTTCTCTAGAACCACATTTAGTTAATTCAATATCATGCCATTTTTGGGCGACTTGTACTAAGTCATTATCTTCTAGGGATGTGCATGGGAAAAATATTGGTTCGGCCTTCGGGACTTTGTGTAAGTGTAGGGTTAGGTGTAGGGTTACCTAACCCTACTCCAACCACTTACCCTACCCCAACCACTAACCCTACCCCTAACCCTACTCCAACCACTAACCCTAAACCACCCCTTAATCCTACCCCTAACCCCAACCCTCTCCTGTTTTGCCACTTTTCAGAAATCCAAAGCACTTCAGCATTTCCGATATTCGGCACTTCAGCAATTCAGTTCGGTTCGGTATTCCGAAATTCGGCAATTCGCTTCTGTTCGGCATTTGGCACTTCGGACATTCGGAAGCATCCGAATTACCAAATTTTCAAAATTCATTCGAATTTGCATTTGGAACGAAACAAATTGCACATGTCTATTATCCTCTAACCAAACTCTGTAATTTGCCATAAATTCCCTCCATATATGTGGGTCTAGAGTGCCCTCTGAGGGCATGCCAGCTTTCTTATGTAACCTCTTAATATTCTTAATTGCTCCTTGTCCTTTATGATGCTTGACTATTGTAAAAGCCGTTAAACCCTCCAGAGTGCTTTGAGAGCTACCCATATTAAAACGTGTAAGGGTTAATTACTTCCTTACACAAGACAAACTGTACAAAAACAACGTATAAGACACTTAGGACCACTGCAGTGGAATTTTCACAGTCTTGTCTTCGTTATTCCAAACACAGATCAGGAGATCTGCCCTTGGAGGATTCTAACTCAAATTATAAAACAAATAACAAGACAAACAATAAAAATAATTTAAAACCCACAGATATATTCCACTATCTCAAGATTCCTTTCACAAGACATAACACAACATCCACCTGAATATAACCATAATACGACACA